CTATATAAGCGCATAACATAGAAATCCAGATTTTTTAAATCATAAACTAGAGAATGATTAAATGTTGTTAACTTAGCAAAAAAGTTTACCCAAGACTCACTCTTGAGACATTGATCTCTTGTACTGGTTTCAGCATTTATCAAATCTTCTGATTACATGAGTTATATAACCTGCGGAGTATATTTATAACTTTTTGTAAACTCTAGTCTCTTCCTAATAACATACAGTTAAAGATTGAAGAGGAGTTACAGAAAGCCCCCAAGTACACAATCTCTGTTTAACACCTCATCTTTTTTGAGTTGCAAAACAGGATTTTTTTTTTTTTTTTGCCTTTTTTTTTTCTTTTCCCAAACATTCTCGGGGAATGAATTACTTAGAAATGAAATTGTCCAGGGAGAAAAGAAAATCCAACAAATTTATTCATCTGGAGTTGCTGTCTGTATATAAAGAAACCGAGAAACACTGAAACTCAAAAAGTCTTTTTCAAGTGAAAGCTGCTGACATTAATTCAGTTTCATTTTTAAGATCAGAAGGACTCTAACCTGGGTTCTAAGGCTGCTGCTCTATCAGAATTTTAATGTACCTACCTAGAAAAATCCCTGTCTCTTAGACAACCAAGTCATTATAAATGAAGTAGGCAATGTCTGGATTGTCTTTTTTTTAGGTCTTATTGAAAAGTACTAAGTTTTAAAATAAGGCAGAGAGGTCAGATTTTTAACTTTTATGCTGAGGGAGGAAAATGATGTTCAAAGTCACACAAAAGCTGCAGGGTTTGCAAACTTAATGCCTTTGGGGCTGGAAGGAAATAAGTGAAGGGGTGTATGTATGCCGCTCTGGAGTATATTCTATTAAAAATGTATAGCTGCCATTCAGTTCCAGCCAACTGCACTTCCATGCAGGAATGTGAGCCCTGTGTTGAAAGTCTTCTGCCTTTCCAATCAGATAATTATGCAAAAACTTTCCATTTTTAAATATTAAAATTTTATTATAAAAATTTTAAGGGAAAACAATCTTGGTTAGGAAGAGAAGTCAAAAAATCCATAACCCACATATAAGCAGGCCATTTGTGTCATGTGGGCTAATCTTCCAAGTCCCAGTCTTGTTCTAATTTCATACTACTATTTGATATAAATGTCTTAAAATAAAATGCTTAGCATTCCACAGGAGATTCAACATCAGAAATATAAGCCACTCTTGGAAATAAGCTTTGGACCTAGAAATGGTGTTGGACTGTTAATGGGTAAAGTGGGAAGGAAAGACATGGTGGGACTATACAAATATTATAAAGAAAACTAACCTCCATTATCTTCCATTGGGACTTCTAAAGTTAAATGTTAGAAGTTTCTTCTTAAACCTAAATCTTGGATGCTAGAATGGGCTGAGTTACAAGGCAGTATGAAAATCTAATCATTGGTTAACGTATGGTTTCTGGATCTTGTTACTAGGTACTAAGCTCTTTGGAAAATACCAACATAGCTCTGAAAAAATTTCAAGAAAATCGACAAGAAAGACAATAATAAAGCATGCCGGTATCTAAGATTAAATGATTGCCGAATATAAGAAATGTTTTCTTTAAAAAAGATGTGCTAGTATCAGTAGTTACTAAGGGTCTGATTGATTCAAATCAAAATGAAATTTAACTGGCCATAGTCAAGCACCATTGTAAAAGGCAAGTCAATTTGACCAGTTCATTCTAAAAAACAGCATTGCTCCTTTTCCTTTCTCACTTATTATCCAGAAAAAACAAGTATCTGATTTATCTGTTTTAAAAAAATACAAAAGCTCTACCAATTTTTATAACCTTAAAACTCTACCCAAACTGACATGTTCGGGTTTACATAAATATATACACATATATCTTTTTAAATTCCAGAAGACACAAGCCCATAGGGGTGTGTGGCCATCAAAGGCCAATCTATTAACTCTGGCTGTTGTAGGAATGTTGTGAGGTGGGTGGGTCTCTGACCTACACTTAACAGCTGTCAGCTTTTAACACCCTTCCCATGAGGAAATCTTTGCCTTTTGCTCAAAACATTTGAACAAAACTCACCTCTGAACTAACAGAGATATGTTAACAATACACTTGGCACAAAAGGACTAAGAGAAAGTGATGCTTATACAGTCTCTCAGGCTGTCAGTCATCTAGACACAAGTGAGTCAGCATCCACGGTGTTCAGAAGGTAGAGTTCAGGCTGAGCTGTCAATCCCAGATGATACTAAGGACAAAAAGATGGAAAAGGATTAGACTGACTTGCAAATATTTAAATTTTGAAATTGGTACTTAAGTACCTATAAAGAGCTTATCAATATAGGCCTATGTTTTAGTACTGCTACACTGATTTTTATTTCAGAAAAAAAGTGACTTACAGGTACATAGTTAATGATATATAAAAATAATAGCTAGGAGATGAAATGGTTAAGGACTGAGATAGTCCAAATGCCTTCAGCACTGTTTGCACTTCGACTATTCTTGTGATACACTGCCTCAGGATGGGTGCTTCTGATCAGGATATTAAGGGTAAAGGCACTGAGAGCTTTTGTATTTTAGTACTGTGGTATGTTAGAAATCAAATTTTAAATGGTCTAAATCCTGAGCCCCATTGCCCTTTTGCACATAAGCAGTCTTTCATTAAAAAATAAATTAGTGAAAATAAAGTGGCATGTGCGAAGAAAGAGGGAGATAACCTATGGGTCCCACATGTTTGTCAGGCTGAATCGGAACCATTTTGGTTGCTTTTAAAACACATTGCAGATTCTACTCCTGGAGACCTGAATCCAGATGGTTTGTGTTGGGATCTGTGAAGCTGCATATTTAATTTTTTCTCTTCTCTGCATAGGCCGTGGGACAATCACTGAATCTCGTTTTAGCCCTACTGTTATTACCTAGGGCTTTAGAAATGTTATTGCTCCTTGGCATCAACAGCCTACGAGTGAATGTAGAATGCGGACTATAAATCCACAGGAAGAAAATATTCCTATTATAGTATAATGGAAAAGGCACTAGAGTTGGATTCAAGCTCCAATTCTGCCATTTCCTATGACCTTGAGCAAGTCGTGTGTCCTTTTCAGCCTTATCCTACTTATTTGTAAAATGGGAATAAATGCTACCTTTGCAAATTCCAAGTACATTAATATGCTATCTGATGTTAGTGTTCAATAGATATAATCTCTTTTAACACATTACAAATTGCCCTGTATATATCACAGGCTTAAGATGAGTCCAAATGAAGTCCAAGATAAAACTAATCTCAAGTAATGGGATAGGAAATTACTGAGTCACACTGGCCTTAGTGCAGAAAAACAGCTCTTTAGACTTCAGCTTGCTTATCCACTTTAGGGTTTTACATCTCAGGTTTTAGTAACCAAGAGCAATTGTCAGATACACTGAACAATTCATTGCAGGCTTTTCTCAAGTAAATTAAGGTGGCTTTCCTCATTGTGTAGTAAGCAAGGGTTGCATTATGAGTCTTACGACACCCAGAGTATATCACTTAAGTGACTTAATAGAACTCCTTCACTGGAAGTTTATTATATTGCTGAGACATTCAGAAATGGGAAGGACAGAGAGGTAATGCAAATGAGTAAACTTACTATTAGTTCTTAGCTATTGCAGAGGTAGGATCACAGAAGGCCCCGCCCATTTTCTATGCCTGCCAAAAAGCACTTCTTTTTTTTAATTTAGCACAGGCCAAACAAGATTAGTCCACCAGAGGGCAACTTCTGAGCTAAAACATATTCTAGCACTAATTTGAGTATCTATCAAATGCTTTGATGTGTTGATGTTTCTGGTGCTGCTAAACACCAAAGTTTGATGTCTTAAATTTGCATGGAAGGTGTACTATGTATTATATAGAACAGTTCGGTAACGATAATGTGGGCCCTGGAGTTAAGCTATTCAAGCTCAAATGCCAATTGCCCATTAGCTATGTAAAATTTTGGGATTTTATTTTTTGGCTCTTCAGTTGCCTCATCTATACAGAGGTTGATCTTCTTGTTAGAAGAATTAAGCAAGATCATGAGTGCTCAGACCAGGACTACACGTAGCTGTGTCAGCTGTTTTAAACATTCATAAACTAAGGTATCAAGAAAACCTGACACATTTAGATTCATTGGTCCTAAGCAATGAAAAAGCAGAAACATTCCAGAGGGCAGAGCTAAAGGGTAAAGTCTCACATCCGGACCTTCATTGTTATGCATTTTATTTTAGTTCTAAAAATAAACCCAAATTAGAAATGGAGAGCTAAATGAGGGTGGACAGCAAGCAGAACAAAATTCCCAGATTACTTCTACAGTGTTATTTAGGTATTCGGCTCCTGTAACAAGGAAAGCTTGCAACAGAGAAAGAAATAATGAAGTTCTAGTGACACTCTTGGGACAAATGAAATGCTGACTTCGATTTCCTTGTCACATACCGGTGACAGGGTTAGTAGTTCGCTGTGCCTGAACTTTGTCTTCATTAAATGGTGCCAATATCTATTTATAAAAGGTCTGCCAAAACGTCCATTTATTTTTAGCTAAACAATTCTGATTTCTCATTTCAAATGTTCCTTTTTTTTTCAAGTTTAAACATAACAATGATGTGACCTTTAGCAATAGCAAAACTCTAAGTGGGAAAATGGAAATTAGTGTCAGGTGTCTGCAATTCATCAAGTCTTCTAAGGACTAAATCTTTTTCCATCCCTTCTAAAGAGGGAGGGAGTATTAACAGTGTGTCTTTAATACGTCATTCCAGGTGGTAGGTGATGTTTCAGTATTTCAAAGTTGTTGAGACCCCACCTCCCCCCATTAATGAAGTATTTTCAAGGTAAAAAAAAAAAATACCCAGGAAACCAAATTAGAAAAAAACAAATGTTTTTAATTATAAACCAAGTTTACATAGTGTTAAATGGTCACTAAAAGTTCAGTTGTAACCACTCCTAAAACCCCTAGCAGGGCCTCACAGGAGCCAAAGTGCAGCCCTTCCCCATTGCTGTTAATTCTCTGGATGCTGGAACAGCACAACGATTTCGTGTTATATTTATGGAGAACAAGGATTAATTTACATAAAGTACAACTGTATATCCTTAAACATTCCACACAAAGACACTGCCAAAACATAATGCACATGCTGGCACTTGAAAACTTTGAAGTTCTAGATATTGTTTATTGCATCTAGAATACTGGCTGAAGTACACTATCTGAGAGGATCAAATGGAATACACTAAGGGAGTGTTTAAGACTGTGAAATACTACACACACAGTATTATAAAATGTTATTTAGCTGGGAAGAAATTTTCCATTGTTGTTAGTCATAAATATAACTTAAAAAAAAAAAAAAACCAGTTTTTACCGGGGCTTCTAAATATTTGTGGATCTGAAACTGACTGGGTCCACTCAGACTCAGCACAAAGGTAAATGTTACTATACTGTCTTTACAAAGAATTTTTTGGTCTTTGGCCTTCACCTATGGTAGCCAGACCTACTGCAACTTAAGATGTCAATCCCCAATATCTTCACAGGGGAATGATGGTGGGGAAATGGGACAGATATGAGGAGGAATGGTTAGGGAAATGTGTCTTTCATGATCCTGTGCTATGTTACTTGAGGGGCTAACATAAAGATATGGTCAGTGAAACAGAAGTTTACCCTTAATGCCTTACAAAAGACAATCCATCCAGCCTGCATATTTGACTATGCAAAGTATCAGCAATAATGCCTTTAGGCGCTTAGATGAACAGAGAGCATCAATCCACCAGGAGGATTCCAGAAAGCAAGCCCCCAAAATGAGAAGTCCTTCAATGCCATTCCCATTCCTGTTCTTATCAAGTCAACAGCTATAAGAGACTTGATTATCTCCGCCAGACAAATATGATTTGATTTGAGATAATCACACAGTCTCGGGTTCCACGTGTAAAAATGTCACAAGTGGCTGAAGAGCAGCAGCTTCATGATGAAGGGACCCATTTCCTCAGACTCCAGAGCTCCACCATCTGGTCTCAAAGGTTTTCCCTCTGAGGGGATGGCTGAAGAGAGGTAGCCCAGTGCAATCTTGAGAGAACTTTGCAACCAGAGACTGATACCTATTGACTTTCTGAGAGAGCTTTGCATCAGTTGGTCCACAGCTCGAGACTGCTTTGCAAGTCATCTTGGGCATATGTCAGAAAAACATGATGATTCTGGTAGGAGGTGGCTCTTAGGAATATAACAGATGGCTCTTCTTCTCCTTTCAAGTCTTTTATCCTCACCCCAAAGTCTCATGAGAACCTCAGTTTATAAATGCTACCATCTTTTTCTATCATCACCCTCCTGGAGGAGGAAGATGAAGGTTTTACAACTATGTGCTCGAGAGTAAATATCAGAAAAGCTCTGTGTATTAACATGAAATTTAAATCAGAACTCCCAAGAAAATCCTGATAAGCTTTCGATCTCTGAGGAAAATCTTCTAAAGTGATTTTTGAAGTAATTAGTAACCACCACCTACAGGTGAATTTTGCTATTTGTTCCTTTATTACTTTCTTTATGCTTTCTCTCCCTTCTTAACTTCCACTGAGAAATTCAAAGTAGAATTTGAATAAGTTTTAAAAAACTGGAGAGAGGTAGATGTCTCATAATTCTATATTTAATATGGATGAAACCATTCTATTCTAGTTGAGATTTTTTTAATAATTAAAATAACTGAAAGGGTGTGCATAAGAAAAGTATATCAGCCTTTAAAATCCATGATCTTTTAACAGACAAACTTGTATACCCATTCTGTCCTTTTATTACGAAAATTTTATTGCATTTTCCAAGTAAGTTTTTTTAATGTATAGCCTGGTTAAGACTATGAATAGAGATCTCTCTCTCTCAAAAAGATAAAACAAGCTGGCCCTTGGACAGCTCCTAAAGGATTTAGTGTTGGAATGATAGCAGCAAACCCTCATCTTTTCAAAGGTCTTACACTTAATCCAGTTCCCAGGTTAGGAGGTCAGGAAGAAAAAAATTTCATCTTTCAAACATGTGAAACAAAGTCTTTCCCAACAAATAGCTGAGTCCTAAATACAGTCTGTGCAACAGCACATACTTTTGGCTATGTTCACACAGTAAACCATAGAAACACACTGGCTCTGATGGCTACCTGGATCAGACAGACTGATCCAGTGTTTACTTAATATAGTCACTGGTGGCTTCTTCAGTCAGGACTTTAGAGATGCTTACCGTGTGCCCACAATCCAGGAAAGACAAGCCCAATGCAATCAAACATTGCCAAATCTGGAAGATAAAATATGTTCATCATTCATCAACCTCTCTGAAGAGCCCTCTTACTGACCATGACTGCTCACATTATACTGTTCAGATGCAAACCTCTCTTCCTCGAATATCCAGCTTTGCCTTTCTTCTATCATTATCACCAAGATTGCACAAGTCATTCTCCCCACTCCACAACCCCTTCCAAATATCCTGAAACCTGCCTTCCTCAGCAAAGTTCTTCAATACTAAGTTCCCCCTGCGTTGCGTCTGTAGTTTGTTATCGAACTGGGAGTTCCTTGAAGACCACTTTTCTTCAGTCCTGCCCCATTGCTCATGATAAGGGGAATGACTGACAGACTAACACAAAGTTTCCTGAGCTGCTCTAGGAAGTACATGCTTTAGAGCTAAAGAGCAGTAACCCACTCTAGAATCAGCCCTCAGCCTTAAAAATGGATCTTCAACAATCTCAATAATCTCAGGCTGAGGATCACTAGGCATGTTCATAACCAATTTGAATGATGGAAGGATTCCCTTAACTTCTACAGTGAATTTTTAAAACAATTCCTATCAAGGATATATTCAGTTAGTTGGGTTTCCTTAGAGAAAGTTCCTAGATAATAGGGTCAGCATAATGTTAGTATGCCCAAGGTTTACTGAGAAAGAAAAGGGATGTATCAATCCAGGACGTAGTTTTCAATATTCACTAAAGTAATTTTTCTCAATCGAGTAGCTACTGGTGGCAGACACTAGCATGGGGACTAGATGTGTGTTATAAAATTAGCAGTGGGTTTCCCACCTCTGTCCTTAACTATTCTCTGCAGCAGAAGGGTACAAATTCTGCTGTCCCTAAACCTCAACTCCTGTGTTTTTCAGAGAAACCTGTACAGAACAGGGAGGCAGATTTGTTGTTGTTGCTATAGCCATTTTTCATTAATATATGTTACAAAAGATTTGGAAAATAGAGAAAAGAATGTATCCATAATCCCACCATCCTAATTCAATGACTATTATAATTTTTACATAATTTACTCTAGACTTTGGAAAATCTTTTGATTATCTGGGTATACATAATCCTGCATTCCTTTTCTTTGAAGCTATGGTTTTACAACCATCATTTTTTAATAACTCTAGAATAATTCAATATGAGAATATCGCTGTTTACTTAAGTGGCAGAGCTGAGCAGGGCTGTGAAGCCACCTGTGTCTCACCCCGAAGTTTCAATATCACACTGCACAGCCCACTTCTCCAACTCCATCTTGTACCACTCTCTGCTTTCTATACTGCTGCTCTTCTTTTAGTTCCTACATTCTCGTTAGGAATTATTAAGAATGGAAACTGAGAAGTGACAGAAATAGAAAAATGATAACTCTTTAGGAACCAAATTTTATGGTTAAAAATATTATTTAGCCAAAAAATATTATAGTTTAAACATAGTTGATTTTAAATTTCATGTAAATTATCTCAATAACCTGGAGATAGATCGATATATGCTCTTTTGGGTCCTTTCATTTCTGGATTCTAGTCAGCCCCACCCTGCCATCCTCATACCTATGCCCCTGCCCGCTCCCAGCTGGACTTACCAAGTAAAACACAAAGCTCAGATAAGCCACACTGACGACAGCAGCCACCACATATAACAACACATGCCCTAATTCTTGGACATAAATCACAACAAAGTACATGTTGATGGAACAGATGATAAGAACCAAGATCCCGCCTGCAATCCTCCAGCCTCTGCAAAAGAATCAGCACAGTCACTTATGGAACAGTCCAACCTGTTCACAAACAGAAAAGAACACTGCGTCCTATGGGGTAGACAAGACAGAGGTAAGAAGCATTTCAAAATAAACTCAAAAATTATTCTAAATATGTCCCAGATTTGGTTAAATGAGCCAAACTTTGATGCTGATAAGGAGAAAGAGATGAAAAAAATACTATCAGATAATCTCTATTACTTAAGTCCCCAGAAATGCAACAAGCCCTAAAAATGCAACAAGTCATGAGAGTCCCTAGAGATGCAACAAGTCATTTCAAATACTCCCATATCATTTAAATAAAAATAAATAAATAAATAATATTACTCAGTGGGGGGAAAAATACCCCCCATATCATTTACAGATGTACATAAATGGTATCAGCTTATGCCTTTCCCATTCAGATCATTTAACACGGAATGAAGGTGCTTGAAACTTCAGTGGCTGAAGAGTTAAAGCCCTAAAAGCTGAAGTTTCTCCCTCAGAAAGAAAGATGTGCTTGCCCTCCTTTACTACATTCACAGTCTCCATTTCCTGAGCCAAAGATAGAGGGGGCAGCTCTAGCAACCACCTCTCAGACCCCTATATGACTCATTTTTTGACTGGCCTATTTGAAGATACCCTTCCCCCACATATCTTTGAGGAACTTAGAGAACACTCACATTCCATTGGCAAAGTCACTCATTACTGGCCGCAAGCTTGTAAATGTGAGGATGGGTATGAGAGCAAAGGGAAGCTGGAAAAGGAAAAAACTAAGATTAAATAAAGCTACGGGGGTGGTCCCTGTATCACCCCAGAGAGCAGCACCATTAGTGAAAGGGAAACACAAACCCTGCCTCATCTTCTTCATTAGAAATGGTTATTCTTATCATCCCAAATGCTCAAGCATTATGTTAAAATCTGAGCTGTCATTAACCTAGCATCAAATATGATCATAAGTGTCTTTACAAATATTTGTATCTGTCTTGTCTTCTTAATCTCTATTGAACCCAGCAGTGTCCTATATGTTATTTAATATTTGCTTGGATTAATAAACAATAATTTTGTGTTCCATATGTAATCGTAATTTATTTTTCCCATCCAACAGGCTTGAAAAAAAATCCAAGTCATTTCTAAAAGCCTTTCAGATGCCAGAAATTTCATATACATTTACTGCAGATCAAGACCATGCCTCTTTCTTCGTCTAAACTTTCCTCAGCATCTGGCACTAGGCTTGGTACCTACAGGCAATCCGTAATGCTACCTGACTAAATGAGATGTGACTTTTTCCAGCTCTCTCCACACCTGTAAGCTCTGTAGAACATTGAGGAAGTCATTCATTCCCGTTAGATGTTCTACATCTTGGAAGACGGCAACAAGCAGAGTGGGGATAATGGCAATAGAGCGGGTCAGGATCACTCGTGCAAAGCGTGACCACCTTAGGTTTAGAAATCCCTGAAAAAAAAAAAAAACACAGAAACAGGATATATGTCTGGAATGGGAAACAGAAGAAGGTTTGGAGAGGTTCAGGAAGACCTTAGAAGCATGGGATTAAGATGTAACAAAAGGGCAATTTCCTCCTTCTCTAGTCTATACCAGTCAAAACGGCACGTACTTCCATGACGAACTGGCCAGAATAGGTTCCTGTCATGGTGGAGCTCTGTCCTGCAGCCAGGATTCCCACTGCCCAGATGTAGAGTGCAGCAGGCCCAAAGTAACAACCCAGAACAACACCCTGGGAGAGGCAAGGAAGAAAGATATGTTGTGTCAGTGAACTGTTTAGACAACACCCAAAACAGCAATTCTCTCTCTTCTTTGCTATGTAACTACCTACACCAAGTGCTATGCTTATGGATTAATAAACAATAATTTTGTGTTCTATATGACTCAGAAGCTGGAGTCAGGTCCTAAAAGCTTTTAACCTGAATTTTGCTGGATGATCCTACATTCCCCAGCAGAGTCCTTTCTCTTCTCTAAGTTCCTAAAGCTTTCATCCTCGACCTATATCTTAAATATTAAGAAAAAGTCTACACTATATTTCCCACATTATACTGCTTAACACACTACTCTGGAAGATAATAAGAGTAAAAAGAAAAGTCGAATAAATTTGGGAAATGTTGCATTACATACACATTCTACTCTTCAAGGTTCACAATGTAACCAGCATAAAAAGGACTAAGGCCTCAATAAAGAACTCTTTGCTAGGAACACTTTCACTGATCACCCCAATTAACATCCTATGGAACAATATACTGTCAACAAAAGTTTGGGAACTGCTAATACAATTCATTTTTCTAGCTGACCCTCTATTCCTTCCTATGCTGTCCAAAATGGTTGTATAACATCTGGACCTCTGAAATAAATGACACTCCAAAGAAAATATGCTCAGCTCTGAAGTGAACCCACAGAAAAGACCAGGTACTATGTCAAGAATATTGATTCAGGGGCAAAGAACACACGTGAATAGGTTTACCCCTTTGTAGATGTCCACAGCCAGTGTTGAGTTATCATTAGGAATAAGGCCAGTATGAGGACTGCTGCTATTTCTACAGACTTCAATCTGGAACACAAAGCAGTTTAGGAACATCTTTTATTTTCAAGGCAAGGACCAGATAATAAGAGCTCTCCTATAGATCACACACAAGTCATCTATGAGACACAGCCTGGAGGTAAGACACTGGATACAGGTTGTGATAGGGACAGGTACTGGCAGCAATTATGCTCTTCCTCCCTCATCTTTCTATATCCCCATGTCATCAAAAATATTTACTGCGTCTGAGTGTGCATTGCTGGGTCATTTTAAATGATGACAGAAAGAGAAGACCATTAAGACGACTTCAAATATGAGAGAACACCCAAAACAGTGTCAAAGCAGAGCCAGGAGTCTAAGGTCCTATAGATGGAAAACAAAGTGATCAGAACTAGACAGGCAATTGAGAACTGAAAAGACAGAGAATTCAAAATGACAAAGCAGTTAGTCTTAGGAATAGTTTCTGTTTCATTGACTCTTTCCAACCTGTCCTCATCACCAAATGATAGGACTAGTAAGCAGGCTGGCAGTTGATAAACATTAAACAAAAGAGTTGAATAGATATTAAGCCACTAAAAAAACAGCATGAGGTAACTTTTATCCTGAGGCAATCTCCCTTCTCAGCCAAAAGGTGGGAAAAAGGGGTCTAGGTCTAGTTAGCCCTCAGACTGTAGACTGATTAATGCAGTGATTAAGGAGGCAGCATGAGGTTAGAGATCTATTTCCCCTGACCTCCAAGTCACTGTCATATTTTCCTACCCCATTCCAGCCTTCACTTTACCCTCACGCTCACTACCACTCATGATCCTGGCTTACTTACCACCTGCTGGTTGGTTTTCTGATAAAATGCTTCTGCAAAGACTGAGACGACAAAGACATTGATGATGAAGGAAACAAAGAGCGCAATGCAGGATTCAATAAAAAAGTACTTATTGGCTTCTTGAACTTCCTGCTTTTTGGCTCGGTTTACCTGTCTGGACTGGAAAGATAACAGCAGCAGTCATTTTTTTTTTTCTGACTATTTGGAACGTTTCCTTGCAGTGTTTCATGAGTTTGGGAACAGCTGAAAGATTTAGAAGTCGAACAACTTACCAGATGAAATGTAAGACAACTCACTTACATCCTTGTTCATTAAGTAAGAACCTCATGACCCTTTTATGAAACTGCACATTCCCCAAATAGGGAATAATGACTAAGTGACCACTGAGCTCTCAGTTACGGCTGGAAGAACTGCTGATCTACAAAAATAACCTGATTTCAGTCCTAATAATTATAAAGGTCTCTGAAATCTCCCAGCAAACTGTTGTGTAAGAATGGTAAAAGGTTGGTCAGGCTCTTCACTCCTGACCTCAAGGCCATTCAGGGTCTTGAGAGTAAAACAAGAAAGACCTGGTGCACTTTCAGACCTTTTATGAAGAACATTAGTCCTAGTTTTTCTGTGAGGTCAGTTATCTCTGGTCATAAAACAGAGTCCAAGTGTTTGGAGTATATAAACATTCAACCACGGAAAACTATCTTCCTCCTTCAGAGCTCTAACAGTTGTAAACTAAGTATGTGTCCCTCGCAACTACAGGAAAAGAGCCCATGAACAACCCAGGAGGCCACTGAGATAAGGATCTTGCTCACCTTGACTAAGGCAGAATGCAGGTACATGTTGTGTGGCATGATGACAGCTCCCACAATGCCCACAGCCTGTTGGATCTGTGGGGTGCCACAGCCTGAACAGGATGGCAGGAACATGCCTTTGAGTACCTCGCTCTGACTGGGTTTCACTGTAACATACTACAAACCAACATAACGATTAATCTTTACTGGAATATGAGACCGAGGAAATAACATAGCACTAGGAAACACTCAGCAACCTTTACCCCTACCCCTTTCCTTGCAACTCTTTCTTCTTCAACAACTACCTAGACTAATGAGGAATACAGAATCATCAAAAATCAAGCAGCAAAAAGGGCTTGCAGCCAGCAGTCAGAGAATTCAGGACTGGGGTTTCTGAATATTTTACATCATGTTTTAAATACAAAATAGATGTGTAGAGTATGTAATTAATAGTCTAAAAAAATAAAATGGATGCAAAGAGCCTTACTGAAATTAGCTTCACAGTAACTCCTATGAGACAGACCCAAGAATATAGAGTCAATTCTTAATTATCCACACTTATCATGCTTCTGCTGACCTATGTTCATCTAAAAATCACTGTATGCCACTAGCATAGGCATTCATAAATGCTTTTCATACATACTTTTTCCTGGTTTACCATTTCTCTTGGAAGCCTTAGACCAAGCTGCATAATCTACTCATAGATTAGATATATTTTTAAAAGTCTAGCAAAGCCAATAAACAGAAATCAGTTGGTAACAACTGGATATTAAAAGGTGCTATTACTGTATATAATGGTACATATAATAGTTGGGGCACAAACCAGGAAACATCTATTATATCTCCTATAGTATATTAACTATTGAAATATAGAGAAAGTTCAAGCTGCAGTTGGTATAAACCAGCATGAGTAAAAACAGAACCCCTCTAAGTTAACAGCCAAGAATCACCCTGCAACCTGCTTCCTAACCTTCTCCAAAGCGGCCCTGTTGTAAAGATGGCCAATTTAGAACCAGGGAGTCTAGTCTAGAAAGTCCTAGGAACTCCAGTCATTTTTGACATAGGAGTCATCTAGCCACTAGTCTTCCCTATAGATAATATTCTTTCAAAACTGGTCCAGGGCTTAATTGGCTTTTTCTTAACATATTCAATACAATAAAACCATGGTAGCATTATAATGTCTTTTATAATAAAAGGCAAAAAAAAATTTTTTTGACGCTAATGAATAGCCTGTAACACTTGCCTCATATCCAAATGTGAGGGCCATAACAGTGATGAGAAAGCCGAAAAATGCTTCTAGCTTCCGCAAGCCTACAGGGGAAAATGCAGCAGTGAGCTCACAGAAGGCAGACTTCCCTATCAGCCACATGATGGAAGAGTAGCTTCTTTGACTGATCCCTCCATTCTCACTCTACTTACCATATTTGTCCAAAAAAAGAAATACAAAGGTATCTGCAATAGTGATGAGAACTCCACCCCACAGAGGAACCCTAGGTCAGAGGTAAGAAATGGAAATTAAAGGAAAGAAAGGAAACATTGAGAAGCACTTTCTTCCCAACAGCTCCCATATATACCACATTTGGAGAAGTAAGGACTTGGGGGAGAGGGGATAGTGGCAGAAGGCCAGGCCTTGGGTAATTTAGGATCACAGCACCAACTGAATTATATTCATTCAAGCTGAACGTCTACTCTGTCAGCAATTTAGGATACAAAGCTGAAAAGTATGGGTGTTATTGCTAAGGTGCTGTCTAGTGGGATAAACTGACATATAAATAAATAACTGTAATATACAATAATCCACAAATAAAATACACACTGTATAACAGAGGTACAAACATAGAGGTATGTATAACAAGAACATGAAAGAACATGAAAGACATCTCTGCCAGGAAAGAGGAAGGTGGTTCTAGAAAGGTTCCACAAAAAATATAATAAACTTGAGTTGAACCTTGAAAACTGAAAATTAGTTGGGTTTTGTTTTTACATTTGTTTTGAAATCTAGTAAAAATATTGATTACTCTACAGAGGAAAACTCCCTCACCTTCCTTTAGACAGGAGATTGATGGCAATGGCTGAGCCAATAACTTCTTGCATATCTGAGCCAATGATAGCCAACTCCACCATCAACCATAAGATGATTCGTGGGATCTAAACACCAAATAGAAGAAAAACAATTAATCATTTCTAATAACTTCCCCCAGAGTTTAGAATTCACATTTTGGAACTGTCCTTTTTAAGCCTTAGTCTAGAGATGAAGTGCCGGAACTTGCCTCCACTTGACCCATCATTGCACTGCGGCCCCTAGCTGGAAAACGGTGCTTCTATGTGGCAGAGCCTATGAGCCAAGGTCAAGGCAGCAGCTAATCCTAATTTTTTCTCTTTCTCTTCCATTCAAGAGAGGAATGGAATTTCCACTCATTAATTTCCACTTAATTTCCTGCCTTAAAACAATCCTAAAAGTCTTAAAGGAAAATAAGGATGCTGAGATGGTCAAAATTTTGACATTTGTTGATCAATGTCACCCCAATAATATTTAATAAAAAAAAAAAATTGGCCAGGAGAGAATAGAAAATGACTGCAAAAGAAAATATCTATCCTGACTGTAGATGAAGAAACAAAACAAACATGAAAAGGCTGAGGTCTTCCTTAATGTAGTAACACAGAAACAACAGAGAAAGGGCAGATATGCAAGGGGACTCAGGGCAAAGTGGTTGGAATTGGGTGGTGTATAACAAAATAGGAAACTAATCTGGTCAAACGATGCAGGCAAAAGGCAAATTTAGTTAATGCTGGCTCACTGAGGCCAGAAAAAGAACCCTTCCAGGTACCTACTACCCAGAAATGTCACAAAAAACAACTGTTAAGATATATCCAGAAGGAAAGTGTAAAAGATGGTATAACCTCCAAAGTCAGGGTAAATTGAAAAATAATTATTAGGAAATCCAAAGATCCTGCCACATATAGTTTGTAGTAAAGGAAAAAACACTTTTTTCAAATTGATGGCAAAGTCAAACAAAAAAGAAAAAATATATAATGCAAAGCGATGGAGTAATATGTATGTATGAATGCAAGTGCTTAGGGAGCACTACCACCCACCCATCCACCTCTCCATGGACTGGGCACTACTAGACACCAGAAGGCAGAGTGAATAGTGAATGTTCTCAAACATTCAAACAGAATTTTTCTAAGGAAACTTTCTGAGAAAGGTGAATCTCACATTAGATTTTGAAGGAGCACAGAAACATGACTTGGCAGCAAGAGTGGGCTAGAGAATTTCCCTTGGGATTATCAGTCCTCGAGGCCACTGATCGCTAAAGTCTTCCATTGTTTCAGTATAAGTAGTAGGGCCAGCACATATTACTAGGCATATAAATTCCTATGACATAAGTGACAAACAGGACAGTACACTGCTCACCTTGGGATACTGACGATGACATACTTCAGCAAGATGCATCCCAGTAACCACTCCTAGTCTAGCTGCAAGGCGCTGAAGCAGGAGCCCCACAATGGTGGCCAACAGAAGAACCCAGAGCAACTAGAAAAGAACAAAATCTCCCAGAACACTCAGACAACTGAGGTTTTTTTTGTTTGGTTGTTTGACAATATGAATGGGAAACACTATATTTGGGAAAGAGCTCATGTCAGGAATCAAATGACCTGATTTCTGTATCAGGTTGTACACATAACCTGGTAGGTCTCCTTGTACCTCTTTGAGCTATAGTTTCTCTCATCGGCAGTTTGCCCTTTGTTCAAGGAAACTATATGGGTGAAATAAAATAGAAAACCATCTACGTAGATAAAATAAATAAAATAAAATAAAATAAAATAAAATAAAATAAAATAAAATAAAATAAAATAATAAAATAAAGTAAAGTAAAGTAAAGTAAAGTAAAATAAAATTAAAAATAACCCTTAACTTAGCTACCTTGTCTAGGCAACTAAAGGGTAACCGGACTTCCATAAATGATGTATCCGTTTTTGTCCCATTTACAAACAAGTGATTCATTTATATAACTTTTCTCTTCTTAATAAAATAAAATAAAATAAAATAAAATAAAATACCAGACGGTAAAGTACTTTCTACTAAATGTCACTGCCAATGAAATACCTGCATGTAGGCCAAAAGGCTGATATCTAATAGGCAAAGTAGAGGGAAAGGATGTGAGGGTATGTTATGTATGTTTAAAAGGGACAGGGGTAGGACTAGATGTTTACCTTAAACCCAGCCACTGCTCCGGACTGCAAATCAGATTCAATGTTTCCTGGATCCAGGTAGGCAATGCTCATAAGGAAGCCTGGTCCCGTGAAAGCCCATAGTTTACGAAAGCTAAAACAAGAGTACTACACAAGAAGAAAAGAGATCAAACTGATTATCACCTCCAAACTACTGTTCTAATTTATCTATTATTTCATCACATATAAAGTAACAATACCAGCTTCAGAAGAATAAAGAATTTAGGAAGTTGGATATTGGGTGTGTCCAAGTTTCACTTTCATCTTACCACTTTTCTTATCAATAAGCTGGCCGCTGTTCTGTCCAGGTAAGAGCCCTTCCCTTACCTGCTCTTTTCCATCAGCCTCTCCTTCTAAAACCAGAGTAACACTATCAGAACCTCTGTGGCCAACCAACCACTACCCAAATAGGACAAAAGCCATCGTAAAAAAAAGGAACATAAAATTCATACTTTCTTGATTGAAAAATGCTCACTTGTACAACTTGGAAACTATTTTGAAGGTTCTCATTTTCCTTAACAGTTTCTATTCTGATTACAAAAATTCAAACTTCTGAGATTGCTTTCCAAAATTAGATCTGAGGCTGTTGATCTTGAGTTATCCAGAAGACTTTTCACTCATAGGTTTCCCCTACATAATAATGTTCTCCTCCATTACCCGTCACTAACCTCCTCCTCGGGAACAGCAATCTTCTCATCAAAGTAGGTAGAGAAGGGCTCCTCTGAGTGCCCAGTGGACTGCGGAAGAGAGGAGTTACTATAGGCAGGGTTGATGGCACCAAGATCGGCAAAGTCCCCATGGTCTTCAGAAGCATCATCTGAATGAACAGATTTGAGAAGAAATTTTTTTTAAATGAACGAAATACACTAACAATTCATCCTTAGTAATACTAAAATTAAATCTTTTTAATATCCTGAATGCATAAGACCAACCTGACTGTATCTCAATTTTTACTTTACTTATTTATATTTTTAATAAATTAATTTTTGAGTAGGCAATACATTCATATGGTTCAAAATTCAAGGAATACAAAAAAGCTAATGATAAAAAAGCTCCCTCTCACCCTCTTCTCCAGTCTGTATCAGTTTTAACACTAATTTCACAATGGTCTTCCTACTTTCAGACTTTGATTTCCACTTGGCAATTTTCATAACCATTGCATTTTCTTCTTAAAACACTGATATCTAGGTCTCAAAGCATAACATTCCCCGACTAGCCCCATTGGTAACCTAAAATTCTAACTTTTAGAAGAAATAAACTAGGTCTAGTGGGACAGACACCATACCACTCCACCTTACCCAGTATTTGGTAAGACTTACTCGAAGAATCATCCTTGGACATTATATACCTCCGCCAAGCTTCTTAAAAAATGTGGAAGTTGCAAAATCCTGTCACAGTTCAGGCTAAAATCTGAAGCTGCAGGGAAACCACCAAGCAGGAATCCTTTGCCTCCTGACTAAGGCCTGCAGTGAAGAGCTTCGGGTCACAGGATGACCCTTGTGATAGGAGGGCTCATCTCAGACTGATTACATCAGTGTTTCCCTGAGTCTGGCATTTTGCAAGTAATCTTAAATGCAGGGCATGGGAGGAGGAGGGCCTGGAAGAAAAGGGCTAATCTGCTAAAAGGATACAAAACCCAGTTTGCTGTAGCCATCAAATGGCTATTTTGAGCCACAAAGATCTAATCTAAGTGTTTCTAAAAAATCCTTACAACCTCCAATTACAAAAACAAAAGCTTTCTTTCTATAGGGAGCTGAGCCACTTCACCTAAGTGGCCCTAAGCTGATGAGAAAATTTATAAAAAAGGAATGGAAATTCTAAAGGGGAAATTTAGAATTAGGAAGGATTAGTCAAAGTAGTCAAGAAGCTCTAATCAAATATATAGTATAAGACGCTTAGTATTTTACTGCTTCATAGGTATCTGAAATGCCATCAGCAGCCAAGACACTCTAGAGGTTTTTATGACAGGTCTGTGAAAAACACTGCCCTTGCAAGCATTTCTGCTATAGAAACCAAATTTGTAGCTAATCTTGGCCCATCTCAGAGCTGGGAACAAGATATGAGGCAAGTCTCTGTGGTTATAAATTCATTTTCATTTACGGCAAGATACCAGATGGTGACTTCTGAATGGAGCAGGTCTCCATAATGATGTTGTTAGCTGGGGGAGAGGAGATGGGGACAATTTTTGTTGGAATAGACAACAAGAAGGAAACATTCAGTTACGGACTTAAGCCTAATTCCAAATAAAAATTAGGTAATAACACAAAACTGTAAATTACCATCTGACATCTTCTGTTCAGGACCCAAAACCATCGTTTTCTTAGAATAAGATTCTGGAAAACAGAAAATGAAGGGAGAGGAATTAGCAAGAACAAGCTAACAAGTTCAGAAACAGCATTTTGTACTCTGTACAACCAAACCTTTACTATATGAAAAGAATAATTCTTCTACTGAAGTAGATAGCCTTGAAAACAATTAGGTTTTAGAGTATGACTAAGAGATGTTTAATAAAAAATGTTGTCTTAATCATGTTTTTGCTAGCAAGACTTCAAAATCAAATTGCAGCAACAGGTATTCAGGGAAGTAAGCAAAAGCTTTTCAATAAGCATCTGCAGAGAGGCTGCCAGGCAATCACCTAGTTTTCTTTTGCCTCTAGATTAACTTAGCTATTTAAAACCAGGCTGATATCTCCCCATTTTCATGAGTTTTTAAGGAAAGAGATTTATAACTCTCTTTGACCTAACTAACAACAACTTAAGCTTGAGGAACAGAATGAAGAAATAAAGAGTCATTGTGGTCAAGCTGCTAAATTATTAACTTAAAGTATGCTGAGACATAAAAAAAAAAACAAAAAATGACTACTCTTGTTTTAACTGACTCTGGGAACTTAAACTTTTGAACTTTCCAGTCCTGCGTCAATACCTGAATGCATATTAGTACTTGTGCATTTAATGCCTGGACATACATTAAACCTCCAGTTACCCATCTGAATGACATCAAAAAGAAAATGTTCCATTGTCTAAACCACTGGACATGTGATGATTACCATCTTGGACCAAGTGGGGCTAAGAATGCAGAACTGATTCTTCTCAAGAATGTACTATTTGCTACAAATCTCTGACTTTTCTTTCTCTTCGGTAACACTGAGTATTGCCTAGTAGTGTTTATGGCTTGCAAACCCTAAGACCTTTGAATAAATCTTTGTCATTTATTTCTAGTCAAAGCCTCCCGACTCTGTGAGCTTGGTCAATAAACCAAAGCTTCAATTTTCTGGAAATGGAAGATAGGGAAGCACCTCACTAGCATACTGATAGTGGAGGGCCACTATTTCCCAGCTTCCTACTTCCCTGAGGAGACTTCAGCTATAATGTTTCCCGTCTCGTTCCCCAACCCTTCAACTCTTCATTAGAAGAAACTAATGACCACAGCCCTCCCATCTTGGGCTCTCGTGAAGAGTTGAGGCAACAGGACTAGGCATGGTCTGTAGGATGCCATCATTTCTCTTGATTCTGCAACAAGCAACCTGTAGGGGGGAAAGGAGTGTTCTTGGATGTCCAGCATTGTTAGGTTAAGTTTAACTGAGAGGAGGAGGGTATCAATAAGCCTATTTGGCCACAGATCTATGGTGTATTCTCCAGCCAACCCCACCAATAAGGCTGATTTTTTAAAATTCTGATCTACTGATTAAGGAATCTAATTCTCAATCAATTCCAAATTTAGAAGGGGAAAGATGAAGTAATATTTACTGTTGCACCCCCACTTAAACCTTGATAACTATCCAACTGAAAAAGTTATTAAGACTTAGCTATCTTTTACTGTTTATTTTAAATAGTCTTTTTCACTCTTGTCCCATTATTGCTCCTATCTGAATGGTCTTCTACTTTCTTTTTTTAGATTATCTACTATATTCTATACCTATCTCATAGAATTATAGAATTCAGATCTAAAAGGGGTTTTAAGTTTCATCTATCTTCTGGGGTGTAAAACATACAACCACTTGCTAACTTGGAAAACATATTTCATCTCTACAGTTACCAATGTCAAGTATTTTGCTATAATGAACAATTAGCCATACCCCTATCATGTTTTGAGCCACCAGATGGCTAAACATCAGCCAAAAGACCACAGCAACACTAACGAAATCCGATTCCTCTGTCAGCCAGTTACAATAGCACCTCACCTAAATGAAATTTACACATCTGACCACTCAGTGTAGCCACTTGGAGTCCAATCATAGCACAGCCCCGTGGCACCACCCAAAGCCTTTTATTTATATTTTACATATAATTCTAAGAAGCTAGGTTATCAGGTTATTCTAACCCACAATAAATTAGAAACCACAAATCAGATCTGGGACTACATACGGCTCTTAAAAGAAAAGAGCTTGGGCCACCTGGCATGAGGCAAAGAGTCCTTCCTTGTACTTCGATCAGCTCTGAGAACATTATTATTTAAAATATTATTATTTTATTAATTATATAATTAATATTATAACTAAGAATAACTCAATTTTCTTCATTGCGGCCTACTCACCAAAACTGATTATTTTTGTAGTAATGAGTGATAGTTTATTTAAAAAGACACATAAGTGTTTAATACATTGAGAATTCCTATCAAAAACAGGTTTAAGTTATAAAGAGCAAACAACTGAGACAATAGTGTTTTCCCCCAAGCCTGTAGTCCTCAAAGGTGATAATGAAATAACTTTAGACAGAAACATTTCATGATAAAATTTTTAATAATTATTGTTAGTATTCTAATTGATTGTTCTTATACTAATTATGTACAGAGCCAATAATGTATAAGAAGCTTCTCACTGAAATCTCAGGAACGTATTATTCCAAGAGAGAAAATGGATTCTAGATTCCAACTTTCTCATCAAAACTTTTAGTCAACAAACTACAAGCTCCACTGTTTACAGCATATACAGAACATAACTAAGGCAGAGAACAGAAAGGGTCAACTATGGTTAGTATGCTGCGCAGTATTTAAGTCTCTATGAAAATTTAAAACCTATGTGGAAGCATTAAGTTAATATTAAGACAGTTTTGCTCTCTAAGACCATACCACCAGGCCATCGCAATCATTTAATTACATTAAGGAAAAAATAAAATCGAGATAGCAGCACCCAGAATCAACTCAGCAATACTTTGGTAATAATGATTAATACTGCTTTGATATTCTAGCTCATCATCAACCATAAAGTATCACCTTCTCTTATAGCCAGTAAGTTTCCTCCTATCAAACAGCAATCAATAACAGAAAATATGGCACTCATGGTTAAATGTGACATAACTATTTTATCTCATTCCTTATTAAAAGTTGTAAGAATGTTTTACAGGATAAAAATGCTAATAAAATTACATTTTCTGACTGAAGCGTCAAAAGTCAACATATCCTTTGATTCAGCAATTCCACTTCGAAGACCGCGTCCTAAAGAAACATTCACAAAAGAAGAAAGTATGTGCAAGGATATTTCCCACAGCACTGTTTGTAGTATCAAGACTACAGTCTCAAAAAACAACCCAGATGTTAGGGGACTGGTTAAATAAATTATGTACATTCATAGGATGGAATACCATGCAGCTATTATAAGGTAGATCTATAGGTGCTGACAGAAAGCAATCTCCAAGATACATTGTCAAGTAAAAAAAACAATTTATAAAACAGTATGCTACATTTACATTGTATATACAAACATGTATATATACAGACTATCTCCAAAGGACAACACTTCAAAAACTGGTAGTGCTGTCCTTAAGATAAAGAAGTGGGGGAGCGCAAATGAGGTCAGGGAAAAGGAAGACCTTTCACTGAATATACCATTTTGCATTTTAAAAAATGTTTACTATGTGCATGTAATATTTTTTTTAAATGTAAAGGTGATATGGATTCACTCAACTTCTCAACAAACACTTTAGGGATGTTCAGTTGAATACTCTCTGATAAAGCTTCTGTAATGGATAAGCAGAGATCTGTAGCTGTTCAGTTGGCAGGTACATATTTTTGCCTTAAGTGTAACTTACCACTATTTTGTCTTAGTGTCCAAATAGCCATGCTCTGAAATTATGATTTGAGGGATTCACCTGAATGCAAAGAATTCCTAAGCCACCTCCTTAGGAAAGCAGTTCCTAACTTCCTAATTTGGGTTAAAGGCCCTCCTCCATGTTCCCCCAAGGACCCTGCTGCTCACCACTATCATTACTCTTATCATATTATCTTGAAATCATTTATTCCCTGATACTATGCTTGAAACTCTTTTGTAAGTCTGAAATCATATCAAAATAAAGTTAGCCCCCCAAAACACATACTGTGTGTTTCTTAGCATTTACAAGACTGCTGAAAGAACAATTTGAATAGACCAAATCTGTTCTTAAAATTGCCCCCAAGAAATGAATGTTAAAATATATGTAATTTTAACTTAAACTTTTCCTCCTATGGTTAAAAAAAAAAAAGCCTAAATTTGGGAAAAAAAAAAAAAATTGTTTTTGTAAAATTCCCCTGTAGAGCACAAAGGCATTCAAAACTATTTCACTGATTTTAGAGTTGTGTTCAATGTTGCAACAATTGCCCTAAAATTGGAAGGTTTAGAGAGGAATGTTTCTGAAGTCATCTAATTCTTCCCCTCTTTTGCTCCCCATCTCTATGTAAGTAAAAACAGCATTAAGTAGGCAAATAATTTTCATCGAGGCAAACAAAGTGTTTGCGTGGAAGCAAGTGATTAAAGAAATGTGAACAGGAATGTTTAAATCTGACTCCCTCTTGATGCTTCCCTGAGACAAGTTTAGAGCCAGCAACATACTGCTGACAAAGCAGAAACTATCAGATGCACGGATTAAGGCTTTAAAAAGTGATACACAAGTGTTTTAGAGAATAACAAGGAGTTAAGGTTTTTTTTTTTATATTCCATTTGTCCTGAAGAAAATGTAAAGATTTCTTCTAAAAATCCCTTTTCCTTAAAGGTCTACTTTAAGGCTAAAGTACTTGATATTCCTTCTAAACCGTTACTATTAATCTAACACCAATGTTGTACAAGATGTCCTTCATGAAGGTGAGCTCCTACTCCTGGATGACTGGGAGTAAACGAAATAGAAATATTCAAGTGGTTCAACCAGAGTTCATTGTTTTCTGAACCCCATGTATTTTTAAAAGATTACTAGGCACTTTTTAAAAAAATGATTATTACTTCCTCTATTTTTCCATTCCAGATCAATGAAGATGTGCCATTTTCTGAGTCTTTCCATCAAGGTCACCCATCTAATTAGTTCCAAAACTCAATGTGCCCCCACTGGGAGTGAGGGGAAACAGCTCAGAAAAGCCATGTGAATTTCTAAATGATTCTTGAAGATGTGAAGTCTGGAATTAATTTTTAAATTTGGATACGTGTATCTTATTTTTCTCTTATGAAAATAATATAAAATGATAAAACAGAAAAGACAGGTTGAAGACTGATTACATATACTTCCTGACAGAAAGAACAAAGTGAAAAGCTCCTTTGGTGTTAGTTTAAAGAAAAAGGCCTAGAAATTCTATTCCTCACTACGTAAGTGGGTAATACAGAATGTCTTCAACTGAAAGCCACACAAGCACGCCCAGTTCATAAAGTACAAACAGTACTGCTATTGTATGATGTGCTTAATACGCATCAAGTCCTCTGTGTAAGCCTCTCTCACACACACACACACACAAACAATGGCCATTGAAATACCTGCTTAGACTGTTCTTCGTTTTACTGACTTTGTGAGTCATAGTAAAAATCTTATCGTCTACCAGAAAACCACATTTTCAACTCAACATTGTTTACTGTTTCTCACCTGAGTTGGACTTTTGAGAATCTGTTTTATAGTTAAAAGAAAAACCTGACATGGAGAACATCTAATCAAGAAAGAAAAGAAAAGAAAAGAAGAAAAGAAAAGAAAGAGCGAGAAAGAGAAAGAGAGAGAGAGAGAGAGAGAGAAAGAAAGAAAGAGAGAAAGAAAGAAAAGAGAGAAAAGAGAGAGAGAGAGAGAAAGAAAGAGAAAACTAAGCAGCAAGAAGAGGGGAGAGGGAGTAAGATACGGGGAGAGAGAGTACAGCTGATAATGAAACCAGCTGCCTGGGTGTGAAAGACGATAACGGCTGGAAGAAATGTAGCCAGGCTGTCAAAAAGTACTGATCTTTTAGACAAAAATATCACTCATCAACCATAGACTTTGGAATTAGATGGGCCCGATGCCTGCTAAATAGGACTCTTCACTTTTCTCTACTCAGTGCTCTGAGGCTTAACCCATTTGCAAACCTCCTTTACTGCTCACATGTTAGAGTCACTAAAGTTTTACTTATAGAGACCACAGCCTGGTCTTTCTTCCTCACTCTCACAGTGTGAGCTTCCTCTGATTTCCTCCGAACCAGAAGTTTACAACAGTGCATTTCCCTTTGGAGGACCAACCTGGCTTCCTGGCCTGACACATCTATCCTGGAACACAAACTCTGCAAACAATTTCAAGGACTCCTTTATACTGAAATAAGAAAGTCTATTAAATCAGTCTATACCTACTTCTGCCCTCAGAAAAAAAAAATGTTTCGCCCTCCTATTTGCTTAAGTAGTTTGCTCTCTGGCAAATATGAAAAATTATTATCAATAGAGTACATTCAACTCATTTATTCCAATGACAAGATACTGGCCCTCCTGATGTAGACTAGCCCTAATTTTAAGTACATATTTTCCTCAACATTTTTTTTCCTTAAAGCAAAGAAAAATTATGTGTAAAGACAGACAACACATACTATAAGATTCTCCAGCCTTATACACACTTCCTTTTGCTCTTTGGAATCTGTTAAGATTTTAACTTGTAGCCTTCTCCTTTCATTACCTAAGAGTCTTAATAGACACTTGAATACTGGTGATAAATAAGACCAAAACAAACAAAAATAACTCATATATGACCTACTAACAATAAGCACAAAGACTGAGAATCCTAATTTTCCAATTTAAGTCTTCACTGGAAATTTGGGTCCTTACCCTAAAAAATGTAATTGACTCTGACCTTAAATTAAAAACAGAAGAGGAATTAAACAAATATATTTTTATCAATCTTGGCCAACTCTTTTATGTTCTATTCTGATTTTATTAAAATAAATCTTATAATAAATTATATTGTTTTGTTTTATCTATGATATTCCTGTTACTACCTGGAGGGCTCTTCTTTGTGCCTCTAGGGGTCAATAAATGTTAATTGTTCAATATGTGTGTGTTAAATTATCAAAAGAACGGCATCCAGATGAGTGAGGCAAGATATAGCTCTTCTAACTCCTTATGTTCTGCACATTCGAATGCTGCCTGTCTTCTTTTCCAAAATATTTTATTTAAACCCCACAGACTCAGATAATAAAGATGACAATGTTAGGATAAAAGGCTTCCCTTTCTGTCTTAAACACCCAACTCTTTAAAGATGTCATTCCTTTTCCTTCTCATTCAAGTACAAATAGAGAGGTTTTACAAAGACACTGTTCTCCACTCTCGCCAAGCCAACATCCAACTTTCAACTCTACAGGCGGTACTATATTGTCTTATTCCAAAGCTTATAACCAAACTTATACCGTCTGTAGTTCAGCCAAATTGGCCAGCAAACTGCTTGAGTAAGCAATGTTCTTTTTTGTAAATTCGAAGTTTCTCATTTTGTGATTAAATCCCAATAAGGCTACATGTATAAATAGCAGCTTCCTTGAAAAAGAACTGTAAGACAAGACAGTCTTCCATTAGAGCCTTCCAGGTAGCTTCAAGAAAACTTAATAGGGACTTTTAAGCCCAGAGAAAGGGCATAAATCTGTCAGCAGACATTTGTATCTATGTACATGATGAGGAGGCAAAGAATAAAGATGTCTTTGATTCCACAGCACCCACCAAAGCTCAGCACTAGAAATTAAACAGAAAAGCTACTACTTTGTGAAAAGCATTCTCTAAACTCTAACCTTCACTTTGCTGAGTCAAAACTAAACCTTAGCTGTTTAGTAGCTCTGCAGAGTAATCCAAGGAACACCACTGATTTCCTAACAATAGAGTAAGATTACATTCATACCAAGCTTCCCCATTCATTAACAAGAAGTGCTGCCAGGCTACCCAGAAATTCCCCTTCCCGGTCCCAACTTGGCCATTCCGGAAACATGAGAAATCAAGTATGCTGTAATCATGGCCTTTTTGGTAATGGATCCATAATAAGCTATGCCTAGGCCCCAACACTGTAAATGCCAATATCATCCAATGAAAAAGTAAACAGCCAAAGAAGTTCTCAGGTTTCATTTACCCAACACAGCTATCAGACAGACCTAGTATACTAATAGTTTCCAACCTTATAATGATAAAACCCAGCGGAAAGCCTCTAGTCATGCATTATTTATACTATAGACTCAGATCAACTTAAAAACATGGATGCATGGATGCAAAACAATGAACCTGAGGGTTCACTGGCAACAGGCTCACAGGATTCTGGGCATAGGATGATAAGGTCAGAATTGTTTAATCTGGAATCTTTAATAGGAAAAAAGGAACATGTAGGTAATAAAAACTTCCACATGTGAAGAACAATTCTAAGCACTTTGTGTACATTAACTCATTTAATACCTACCAATAACTCTATAAAATTGATATTATCAATCCCCATTTTAAGTATGAGCAAACAAAAGAACAAAGAGGCTAAACGACTTGCTCAAAGGTTTATACAACCAAACTGGTCAGGCTTCAGATTCCACGGGAGTCAAGGTAAACATAGTGTCCCTTGGTTTCACTGATACTCGCTAAAATTATGACCAGCAAAAATTTCTGGAAGTCTATCTCCCTTTGCCTCTTCTATCATATAAATTTTGCTTTTGCTTTCCACTTTAAAGAGATGTCTCATTTCTTTAACTTCATAACACTACTTTGAAAGCAGTGGACGACATGAGAAATCTTCATTTTACACACAGGAAACTCAAACCCAGGTTCCTCAACTTCTCCCCTAACAATGCCCTTGGAAATAGTCTAATATATGAGGTAGAGGAGTTGGGAAAACCAGAAGTGAAAAATAATCCAAAGGCGGGATAACAAAAGTAACAGCTTTTAAAGTAGGTACATATGAAACCGGAACAGTTAGAGAGCATCCACCCCACTTAAAATATGCAATAATGGCCCCTACAAAAGTGCCTGGAGCCAGAAAGCTGCACAAACAGGCCTAAAACCAATCTACACACAAGTACGCAGCGGCCTGCACAGGCCTTTCACACGAAAGCGTTACATGTTTGTTGGCTGCACAAAAATGAAGCTTTAGTTTAAGTGGGGAGCCCAGGGAGCGGACGGGGCTCCGCAGATAACAACTTGGCCACAAGGACCTTGCTCTGTGCGCGTCGGCCTGTTCCGCGGCGTGAAGCAGGTCAGCGCACACTGGATCACGGGTGCCCGCGCGATAGCAAATCCAGCCAGGGGTTCGACCATTTCTCCTAGGCCTGGCAGAGAAGGGGCGAGGCCCGGCGAACTGGTGTTCGCTCCCCTCCACCTCGCTCCCCCTCTAGGCGCCCTCTTCTTCCTTCGAATAATACGGCTCCATCTGGACCCCGCGCCTCAGGCCCTCCCTGCCCGCACCGCCCTCGCGGCCCCGCACGGCGCCCCGTGTGCCGCATACAGATCCCGGCGCCGTCTCCCAAGCCGGCCCCGGAGCTGCCCTGCGCCCTCCCCGCCAGCCTGCGGAAAACTAAGCGCCCACGTGACCCTTGACCTTGCCTACCTTTCGCCTCACCAGCTGCACTGCCACCTGACAAGATGCCCCCGCGAAGGCGGCTCCATAGCCCTGGAACCAGAGCCAAGCCGCCCAACTCCTACACGCCCCGCCATTGGCTGACAGGACCACAGCCGCACATTCCAATTGGCTGGGTTCTCCGTATTCCCGGCAGCGGCCCGCGCGCGTGGCAACCCGACTAGAAGTCCTGAGGTTCCGCCCACCTCGAGGTCAGGCTGGGGGCGGGGCCACGCCGGTGGCGCATCTTACAGAGCAGATTCTTGCGCTAGCCGAACCCAGAGTGTGGTTTTGGAGGCTCCCACCTCGTAGACAGGTAAGTTTTCTGCCATGGTTCGCCGGGGCCTCAGCGTTAGGTACGGGCAATCAAGACCTTTTCTTCTGGAGACGTGGCTCTGCGAGGTACAGCTATACCCTATAAAGTATAGCAACCTGGCAGGACCAATTCCTCTCGTCCGCCAGAGCCACATCATAGTCTCTGTGCCCCACTAAAAGCACCCACACCTAGGAGGAACCGCGAAACATCAGCTAGTACAGCCAGTTCGACCGCATCAGGTTGTCTACTCCCAGGCCTTGGAATTGTTTCCCTTTTTCCTACCCAGGTGCCTCGCTTCTTCCCCCAAGCTTTATCTCCACCTACTCAGAAGTAATCCCACTCTATCTTCGGCCTCAACCTCACACCCCAGACTCTTTTTCTGAAGATGATGGCCAGACTAGTGGTGCTTTAGAGGGGAGAAAACAAATGGTTTGACAAATCACCCTAATATTCTATAATGTCGTTTAGAGCTACTAGAAACATCCTTAGATGTCCCCGCCGCCCCCTACCCCTCTTAAATTAAAGATAACCAAGCTTATCTAACCAAGTCATAGGCCTAGAGAGGAAAAGCATAAACCCCTGCAATTTTTTCATGTAAAAACTACTAGGAGAAAATTTTACTACTTGGTAAAAGAGTTCAAGAGGAGAAAAGGAGAGTGAATTGCAAAAAGAAAAATTCAAATAAAGCCTGAAGTAAAAACAAACTCAGGGACCAAAAAAACTGGGCCAAGCATCGTCAGTTATCTTGTACAGGCTGGTTTGCAAACAGAATTTCTCCTGGAGAGAAAAGAAAATGCACAAATTAGTTCTGAGAATCTCTCTATAACACATCTGGGGAGTTTCATAAAGTCCCTCCAGACTAGAACCCTTCCTCTAGGAACCTCAGCTGCAATTAGAAAATAAAATGGCTGGAGCCCTTCCAAGTCTGCTCAGCTGGACAACTTTCCTGGGCTCTAATATACTTGCTAGTTACTTACTCAGCTCACAGTGGGGTGCTGCCTCGGTCTTAAGCTGCTTCTTCATTGTGCAGAACGGGTCTGACTTCCAGTGCTGGCTCCTGCCTCTATATGTGGAGACAAGTGCGCCTCCCTTGGTTAAATAAGGTCACTCTCGGTTGCTCTGGACAGCAGAACACTGATAAAGATACACCGACAAGGAATTTGAAGAAGCAAACCACACCCTCCAAAGCATAATCAAATGTCATCTTTGACCTGCCATGAAAAGGGAAGCATCATATATCTGCCACTCTTGGATATTAATGAACGATTAATTGAGTTTGAAAACTTGTAATCTAAATTTTCATCTCTTCCATTTGGCAGGAGCAGAAGGCGGGCCTGTGAGTACGTGTAAGAAAGGGGTGGAGTAAAAGGAATAGCTTTCCTTCAGAATACCACTCCTCTTGGAGTGAAGCTGGTTGGGGCACTTGTACCAGGGCTGCATTTGCATTAGGACTCTGCTCCCCTAATTAACCAATTAACCCCAAGGCTGACAGTCCACAAGTATTTTCCACCTAGGTACGTGAGCACTGATGCAATTATGAGGAGTCTCAGAGTGTGGATGAAAATGCTTCCCCACCTATCCCTTGGGATCTTAAGGATCCGCTGGCGTTAGCCTGGTCAATCAGTGACCTGCAAATGGAAAACAAAGCCACGCAAACCCAGGACGTGGAGCCTGATGGAAAAGAAAAAACATACAAACGAAAACCTGAGACTGGCCTTTTGAACCACTTCTCTTGCTCAGGCCCACTTCCACATCTGGAAGTGTACTTTCCTTTCTAATAAAGCTTTTCTGCTGTTTAAAAAAAAACAAAAACAAACAAAAAAAACCCCCAAAAACAGAAAACCTGAGACTGAAAAAAATGCCTGAGCAAGCCCAGAATTTCTCAGTCTAGGAGGAAAGGAATTGAAAGAATAGAAAAATTTGCCTCAGGCAAATAGTTTAGTAGGCTCGCTGGAGGCAAAGCTGGAAGGAGAGGCAGTCGGGGTGGGGCGAGGAGAATGGGGTGGGACACTGGAAGGAATGAGTTGCTTCCTTCCGAAAGCTTTCTGTTAGCTTTAAAGAAAATCTGCTTAGTACCATAAAAAATATATGCAAATAAGTGTGGAAAAGCAAAGCAAAAATTAATTCATATTAGTCAAGATAAGCTTCCAGTAAGTGGCTCTAGTTCCCAAACAGCCACAGAGTCAGTAGAAAAAACTAGGGATCTTCACAATTGCCTGAAAAGTAAAATAAACTATCTATATGCTCCTGTGTGATAAAGAATCACAAACAAAATATGCTATTTTTTGCTTTAAAGTATAAGTGATACAGTGGCATATTGGTGTGGATGCTGAGTTGTTGCTTCTAATTAAAGGATTCATTCATATTTTAGATTATGTTGTTTTAATGTGTTTATTTGACATAAAAACAATTTGTTTTCATAAGGCAAAAATTCTAAGCTGGTTAGTTTTAAGAAACAGCAGACTTGGAAGTTCCGAAAACAGTGAGGCCCCAGATGGCTTCCACCAGCCCACTAGCAAGAGCATGGCAGCCGTCCCCTCGAGCTGCTCGCTCATGGCCACCCACCTGGGTTCCACATGCAGTAACAGCTCTTACAGAAGTGCCAAGTACCCTGGGGAAGCCATCGCCCACCACCCTGGTCTCCCCAAGGCTGACTCGAGTCACTGGTGGGCAAGCTGCTATTTCGGAAAGTCCACTCTCCCATTCATGGCCACAGTGTTGGAGTCCCCCTGGCACTCGCAATCTCCCCAGGCCTCCAGAAGCATGATCACCTGTGACCTAGCACGGGAAGCCACAAGAAAGCAGCCTGGTGGCCAGCCCAGCAAAACCAACGCCAGGCCCCATCCTGAGTGGCTACCACCAGACTTCAGAGGTGCTAGGCTCTTTTGAGCCCCTTTCCCCGCACCCTACCCCCATGGACTAGGCAGGCTGCAACAAGCAGAAGCAGTTGGGTTCTTTAATATCAAAACAGCAAAACACCAAAATGGAACCTGAGTCTCTCTCTTCTCCGTCTAGCCATATGCAAACCTTCCTGACACTTGTAACTGTGTGCCTTGCACCAAACAAAATAAATGACAAACAGCCAGCCAAAAAAAAAAAAAAAAAAAAGGCTAGGTAAATGTTACGGAAGTAGAGAAGGCTAGAACTTAAATCTGCACAACAAGCTTACCTTTGTTTGCTATTCTTTCCCTGGTAATCAACCATAACTGACTTTCCACCCCCCACATCTTTTGTCTTTAACTGAAGGTGGTATCTAAAATAACAGCTTCCCCCATTTTAGGGTTGTTACTCAGTGTTCCTGAGTCTCTCACATGTCTACAGGAGATATACATGTTAAACTTTAATTTGTTATTCTCCTGTTCATCTACGTCATGTTAATTTGATTATTAGTCCAGCCAGAAAAACTTTGAAGAATAGAGAGTAATTTTCCCTCCCCGACTGTATTTAATGTGTCACAAACATGAATTAATCCTCACAATAAATGTGTGAAGCAGGAACTATAATCTTCATTTTGCAAATTAGGAACCTGAGTCTTAGGGAGGTTGAGTAACTTACCTAAGGACAGAGGACACGACACACTGCTAGTTAGTGGTAGAGCCAGGTTTTTGTAGGGGAGGAACAATCTTGCATCTGCCATCAAGGTTCTTTGGGATAGTCTAATAATCAAATAGCCATGAGATAGATTAGCAAGAGAAAATAACCAAACTTAAGACATACATATGGGAGCCCTGCAGACATGAGAGAGTGAGAGACCCTACATGTACAAGAGGTTCAGAGACTAAAAGGGAAATTGAAGCATATAAGACATTCTGAGGTAGGGATGAGGTAATGCACCTTGAGGCTTCAGAAAGTAATTGCAGGGAGAGCACATGTTCAATATAATCATTAGTTTGCCCTGCCATGTAGATAGGTAAAAAGTCATTTCTGGTTTTAACTCTTATCATGGGCCAGGCTCCTAATTTAAATTCTAGACAGTTAAGCGGGGAGGGTAGGGGAGCAGAAGTTTCTCTTGAGCCTGTAGGTTCTCAGTTGCCTTTAGCTCAAAATAATCCACATACCACTAAGGCACATCTTGGGTCTAAACCCCTATACTTTGAACACAGACCTGTTAGATCTAAGAACTAGCACCCAACTACCATATCCTACTGCCTCCATCTTGTACACCTAAAACAATTCCCTTCCATTCAAATCTCACTCAAAAATTCTCTTCATAAAACCTTATTAATGCAAATTCACTGAACATTCCACATTATGACAATAACCAACTCATTTCTATATAGATGTTAATATGTATCTATATCGTGTGTACTTTATTTAAATAGGAGATTTCTTCTGTGCTTACCTTCAACACTCTCTCCAAGTATTCTTTTTCATGCTTTTGTTTTCTTTGAAACAACTGCCTGGAATTAACTCCTACCACCCTTCCTCTTCCTTACCTGGAAGACTCCTCTGTAATGCATTACCTGACTGCTCCAGGCAGCATTAGCCCTGCTTCTGTCTGCCACCCAAGAACTTCTTACTCTACTCTAGCACAAACTCATTCTGTAGATATTTGTTGAGAACTTACTGTGTACCAGGCACAAGCTGGGTGATACAGATATACAAATAAGCACAGCTACTTACAAGGTTATTGTTTTTCTGCTTTCTTCTCCCACTAAATTGTGAGCTTCTCAATAGGGGAGATTATCTTATCTTTCTACACTTGGTGCTAACAAAGGCCAGATGTATAGGTGTTCCATTAATGTATTATCCCATTGTTTAATGTTATGGCTGTCAGACAATAAAGAATAGTAATTAGGATATGTCTGTTGATATTTATGTATCTATTTCCAAAGTTGAGTCTTATCTATCTTAAAAATACTCCTCCCTTGATTCTGCTAGCCTTATAAGCTTTCCTGTGATGAGGGCTGCAATGCACAGGCAGTATACTTTTTGATAATGAAAGACTGATTACCCCAGCTGTTTGGGGTGGGAATGCTGCTGGCAGATGGCCCTCAGCTGTCATGTCTTGCCCCTTTCTCAAGCAGTCCATACTGAATGACTGATTTTTGTGGAATTGTAAAGATTCATCCTTCTCCACCAACCAGGGACAGCTCTGAAGATTGGCTGAACCTTTGTCCTGCATCACAGCTTGACTTCTCCAACACAAACTTGCTTTTTTCTCTTCCCTTCGTGTTGATTCCAAGATCACTTTCTGGGAAACCTACTGCCTCCATCTCAGAGTAGGTTTCCCTTCTTACTTCTTTTCATAACACTTGTCTACTTCCTTAACACTTATCTGTCTACTTTTTGTGATCCACTCTGGAAATTACTTTCTCATTAGCTGAATGAGATCATCATTGGCCATCTACAGTGAGAACCCCCTAACTTTTCATCTTTCTCTATTTGAAGTATTGTACCACTTGTCTGCTCTGTCTTTCTTTGGCTTCCATTATACTGTGCTCTCTGGGTAGTTCTCCAATTTAAATTGCTCTCGACTTGCTTGAAATGCTAATTTTCTTCCTCCTACTCCTTAAACTTAAGCATTCCTTAGGTTCAGTCCTCGCTCTTCTTCTAATTCTACATAATCTCCCTGCAATTTCAATGTAATAACACCCAACAGGAGATATATTCATGGGATAGTTTGGAGTAACAGAAAGAACAACCTCTTAGGGGTAAATTAGACCTCGATTCCAGATCTAGCCAGTTGGGAAACCATGGGTAACTTATTAAATCTTTGTGTTTTTTTTTTTCTGTTTTTATCTGAAGTGAGTATGATACCAACCTCATAAGGATTTGACTTTACATATATGTGACCTGTAACAGTGCTTTTCAAAATGGGGCTCAACACATTATTGAATTATGAAATCAATTTAGTGGGTCACAATCAGAATTTTGAAAAAATGGAACAGGAAATACCTGAGAATGTCATAAGTACTAAGGTGGGTATTGTTTTGTGAAAGCTTATTTTAATAATTGTTTGTGTGCATGCATGTGTATTCTGGGTTGATAGGAAATAAATTTGTTACTGTAGAAGTAAAAAAAGTTAGAAAAACACCACTGTAATACATATTCATTATTTCAGTCAGATGATTACAAGCTCCTTGATGAGAAAAAGCAGATTTGGCAAACTCTATCCTTAAAATCAGTGAAAACCAACCCTCTACTCAGAGACCCACTCACTCCAGGAAGCTTCCCTAGAAATTAAAAGAGACACTTAAGGTAAACAGCAAAGTCCTATCTTTCAATGAGCTTCTCTTCTATTAAGAGAGACAAAAAAATAAATTCAATTAAGAAAGCAGCTGAAGAGCCATAGAATAGGCCTTGGATTTAGAGCCAGAAGCTTTAGAGTTCTTGCTCCACTATTAGCTGTATGATGTTGGATAAATTGCTTGATTTCTGAGTTTCAGTTTAACCAACGAAAAGAACATATACTCTACCTCACATAATTGTGTTAAAATTAAGTGATACATATATGCAAGGTTATTTCATAAATTATAAAAATGTTGAAAAATTTTAGGTAAAAACCTGCATTTGTCACTGTTAAGTGAAAATTGATGTAGTACAAATTATACAACTAAATGTGCCTTTGGCGAGATTTTTGTTGTTTTGTTTTCTGATTGACAGTGATAGATACCCAATTCAGACTGGTTGTTCACAAAGGGAATTGAATACTCACATACTGGAGCACCCAATGAGACAGCTAGCTTTGGGCAGGGCTGGATGTAGGGACTCAGACAATATCACCAAACTACTGTCTCTCCCTTTCATCCTGGGCTCTGCTTCAGTTCCAGTGTTGTTTTATTCTCAGACAGGTTCTCCCTGCATGGTGAAACAATGGCCACCATCTGCTCTGGCATGACATGATCCTCACAGCTAGCAGATACAATATCTTCCTCCCTACAGTTCCAGCAAAAGTCTCACGGAGGGCTCTGATACTTAAGTTAGGTCCCAAACCCAAAACACTGGCCATGGGTGCCTAGGACACAACTGACCCCGAAGTTAAGGGGTGTGGTCGGCCCTTAACTTCGGGGTCAGTTGTGTCCTAGTCACCTGGACTGAGTAACTGAGTCACCTAGACAGGTACCTGAGTCACCTGGACTGAAAAAGAGGCTGCTGGGGAGTCTTCTCAATGGTCGGGGTCATAGATTCAGAATAACCAGGTTTCTAAAGCTGAACAGGATCAGTTTAGAAAGACATCTTGGTCTCTTCTATCTAGCTTCACCATACATCAGAGTAAGAACACACAACCACATATGTTTGTTCCTTTTCACTTCATTCATTTAATAAATACAGCACTGAGGGTTTGCTATGTGCCAGGCACTGTTATGGGCGCTGGAATATCGCAATAGTCAAAGGCGCACAAAGTTCCTGCCCCCGGAGAATTTATATCCTGTGATGGAAACACATCATAAACAGGCCAATAAGTATTTCAGGAAGTGATCAAGTCTATTTAAAAAAAAATAATAAATTTAAAAAGCGAAGTAAGGAGCAACAAGAACCAGATGAGAGAGAAAAAGACTTTCAGAAGGGATGGTGAGGGAAGATCTCTCTCGACTCTGAAGCATAAATCTGATGAAAGTGAGTACAAGTCACATGCACAGTATCTGGGGAAGAATTTCTAGGCAGAGGAAAAAGCAAGTGCAAAGACTCTGAGACAGGACCAGTTACTGCCCCCGTCTAGTAATACATGTACATTTTGTAACATATATACCTGCATGTGTATGTGTATTCTTTATTTTTCTATATTAAAACATGACAATGATATTATTAGCTATTTTATGTCGG